TAAATTTATACTGTATACATGTATTAGTTTAGGAAAGTCAGAATATTCTGCTCTATTGATTTTAGGCTTAATTTTCTCCTAAATTATTGGTATTTCTCCCTAAAATTATTGGTATATGACTTCCATTATCTGATATCATGGGCAACTCCTGTTTTTTTTCTGCTCTGGACCTTGCACATTGTATATGAACTTTCATACAATCGTGCAACAGCTAACTAGTAAAATATATAATAATATAATGTACATTAACCAAAACAGTAATGAAATTAAAATAATCTGTCTACATGTAGTTGCGGATTTATGTGTTCGCTATTTTGTTCAGAAATCTTGTTTTGACTTATTTGACTAGACTATTACTCAGGCACAATTCCTTAAAACCCCATAACACCACCAGTAAGCCCAGACTCATTCGGTACCTTCAACCCCAATGCTATACATAGATTACAGTCTAATATATACAGCACATATACACTATATTTACAACAAATGGTTATTCTCATCTAACCTTATATTCATTGATTAGATTTTTTATTTTGACTTCATATAAATTCTTACTTTGTTATTCATTTATTTTGACGCGTTTACCTTCGGTCTTTCGAATGAGAAATAATTTCATTATCTTTTTATTTTGATTTTTAAACAATACTTAATATGAAGTTTTTTTCTATCTCTACTTGTTTGGATGAAGGTTCCACATAAAACCGTGGACACTCTTAGAGTCGATTGGCATGAATAACTGAACAAACGTGGCATCGCTGTTGGGCCAATCCACAAGAGAAATAGATGATAATGAAAATAAGACCTATTTTTGTCTTTTCCTTATTGAAGAAAAACCATCACCGACCAAAAACAAAGATTGCACTCAAAATAAAGATGGAAGAACACAACAACCGACCCAGTAATGTTACTAGTTGACAAGAAGGATACAAATAAGGAGACTGTCCAACAAATAATATTTATACGAAATGAGAGGACTATTATAGCTTCGTTTATTATCTCCTGATAGAATTGTATGATTGTTTTCTAACCTAAGGGCTTGTTTAAAAGTCAAAATTTGGGACAATTCTCTTATTCTCCTTGGTTATTGCGAAACGAGTTTCAGCAACACCTCTACCAAATCGGGAAATCAAGGCAACTCAAAAAACTTCATTAGCAAACAGCACGGAACCTTATTACTATTTAGTATTTACAACATGAAAGTTTTTACAAAGTTATTCGAAAATTTTGAAGTACCACCCAACGAAGATTTTGAGTTTTATATTCTTGTAACGCTTTAAGCAACTTAGAAATAATCCACTTACCGTCTACAAAAACAGTCAGAAAGCTATTGTACGAAAAACTAATAAAGCAACCACCTCTCACCTTAAAAGAATACAATCTTCAACTTCGACATCAAAGACGCAATGAACAAATTACTAGCCAGAACAAACCAAACGAATACTGACAAACTTCATTCTCACTTCCATACACACACCCACACTTCATTAATTCATCACGTACACAGTCCTTATATCTTCTTATTGTAGCAACCATAAAAATGAAACAGACTACGGATATAGAAACGCCTCAACGACGTCACAAAAAAAAGAACATCGAAACAACCTCGCTTACACGATGGGTAGCGACTCGTTATTTAAGGCCCAAGAATTGCCAAGTCTATACAATTTCTTCATCTGTCAATCTTATCAACACCTCGTCTACACACCCAAAGCAAACCAACTGTTCAAATTTCAGCCGTCTTATTGTCCACACGGAGTTTAGTCCAAAACTTTAGTGTGTTAATTACAAAAAACCCGTTCTCTCTATAACACCTTTCCATCCCGCACCAATCCGACAACACACGGACCAGAACTTTCGAACAAGATTCATTCATGGTCATCGCGACATTCCTTTTTTAAAGTCAACTTAATCCTTTCACATTTCTAGTGAAATCCTCTACACGCTTCGCAGAAGCTATGCCCCACCGTATGTTTGACAGACCAAACTAACTCTCTGTCCCCAAAATTCAACATCGCAATCGCTTGAATAAAATCAATACGGTTTTTAGCGCTACAACACAAAACTCACCTAACATCAAAAATTAGATTGGCAATTTCTTTGGATGGACAACGCACGTCGACACACAAACAAAAACCGGGGCAAGAACAAACTTCGATGAAAAAGTTTGGTACAATTACACAATTAATGGATTCTTGATGGAACCTCAACAAGCAACTCGTTGTCAATAATCCCAAGGTTCACCTAGTAGATTTCTTTGCTTCCAGAGTTGCATCACTCAACTGCACCCAATTGGACTGTAGACAAAGACCACAATTGATAATAAAAAATAAATCCATAGTATTGATTGATAGAATTAAAAATGTTGACCAAATAATTAAAAAAAAAAACCCCAAAAATTCAGGCTTTTTTAAGAGATTAAGCCAAAAAAAAAAAAATGTTTGTTGTGTTAACAATTAAGGGACAAAGACCAGAAAACTGTTAATTCATATTTTTGTGGCACAGGATTAATATGAACTGTAGTACATTCCCTTAATTGTTAATGGAATAAAACAAATTCTTTTTTTATGGATATCCTTCAGCAAATTGATTAGTTGAATATATTGGAGGAAATAGGATGTAACCAGAAGCTGTTGATTTTCTTTTTTTAGGATTTTCTACAGTGTATTGTTTTTTTATTTTTAAATTTTTTCCTGGATTGTTTTTTTATTTTTAAATTTTTTCCTGGTTGAAATTTAAACTAGATAAGAATGTTATACTATGTTGCACAGAAACCGAAACATGGAAGCGTGGATGATGATGCAACGTGTTGATGATGTCATGACTATTAAATTTGAGGCCAATTTTACATTAGCAGCTAGTTATATGGCAAAAAATCCATTAATTATCATCGAATCAGCTGCCATGTCATAAAAATTGATTCCCATTAGTTTGTTACGTAAACTGGAGACAGCTAATTGTAATATTTTATAAATTTAGATATTCAATCATTGTTGTTCTTCGTTGAGACATAAAAATAAAAAAAATATAGAAAGTTCAGACACTAATATAGAATAATTTTCCCTTAAAAAATTAATACTAGTGGAGTAATCTTAGCTCACGGGAAAGAGAATGAACGCCTTGAGGAAGGAATAATTTGATTTCACTGCAGAATGAAGCAGAGAACTTGAGAAACTTAAGATAATACATCCTCAAAAGGTTATTTAATAATATATTAGTTGAAAAAATAAAGGTAATTTAATTTTAATTAATTATTAATTTTTCTATTTAAATATATTTTTTCTATTTAAATATAATTTTTAGTTAAATATATTTAAATATAAAAAACTTATATGCAAGCTTATAATTTGTATGCAAAAATATGATAAAAGTTTTTTATTTTAAAATAATATATCATTTTAAATGCTATTTATTTTTAAATATGAATAAGATTATAATAATATACTGATAATAATATTAAGTTACAAAATGAGACCAAAGATTAGCACCAAAGTACTATTTACAATTGACATTGAGTTATATTATCTTTATTACTAAAATTCCTTTATTACTGTTTGATTAGTGTAAATAAATTAAATAATATTTTTTAACATATAAATATATTTTATTAAGGGTAAGTTGATACATATTTTTTTATTCTATATAATTATATTTAACTAAACTATAATAATTGAGAATAAACCTAATTAAGAAAGTTTGTTTCCATTATAATTCGGAATTACTGGAATTAAAATCCTACGTAAGAAAAACTTTGTCCCTATATATAATATATATGTGGTTGTGTGTGTGTTGTTTAGTTTTAAATTGCTTTTGGTATCAAAGAATTTGTTTTTTTTGTTGTCAATAATTTCTTTGGTTTTGCTATCAATGTTCTTATTGGCTTAATAATTATTTTTATATATAACTGCATATGCTATATCATTATATTTTTTTAATACTTTTGTGGGAGATAACAGTGATATGAAAGACTAAATTGATATTCAACATGATGATACTCACAAAAATAATGAAGTATTAGAATGTTAGTCACAATAATGGATTATTACAAAAATAATATTAGTTGATTTTAAGAGAAATATTATATTTTTATTATCCATTTATTTTAATATTTTGTTTTAGAAAATATTTATTACCTCCTCTAACATTCAAACTCTGGATTCAAGAAAATAAATTGTTGAATAAAATTATATATCAAGTTAGCGAATGGATTTAATTATTTATAATATTGAATGTTCAAAATATTAATAAATAAAAAATTGGCTAAGAATAAAGTAAAATATTCACAATATCAATTGATGATTTCATTATAATATATCAGTTTAGATACACTTAGGTTTCATACCGACACGCCCTAGTTGTTGCTAATAACAGTTCCAGCTCGAATTTCACAAAATCTCATAAATTATATATTAAATTAAGAAAAGTATTATAAGAACTATGAATTTGATTGTTAATTTTTCATTTAATTAACTATTTGGCCAAATTTAATCATAAACCATAATTCCAAGAACCCTAGCTGTGACTTAGCTCAAATCGTTCCATGAAACTTAAAACTAACTGAGGAAAATAGTGAATTAACAAGAGGTTTATAGATATACAAAAATTAAAATATAAGTGAGAATAACGAGTAACATGTAATAAAAAAATATGTATGTGTAAATGTAAAAATTATCAAGACAAGTAGTTATTAAATCAAATGAATTTATTATCAAAAAATTACAAAAATTAATAATAAATTATGATAATTAAAATTAGATTTTAAAAAATAATAGTATTTTATAATATAAAAAAGTAAAAAACTAATTTTAAAATTAGATTTATAGTATTATATAATATAAAAAATTAAAAAACTAATTTTCAATTAAAAACAACAAGTATTAACATGTACAACACATGTTAAAAAAAAAAACTAGTATTATATTGTCACAACTCATTTCCATGGACCGGACCGGCACTAGGACCTGGGTGGGTTTAAGGCCCCCGAAGCCCGTAGTAAGTCTAACTTATTTAAATTTCACATTCTATTCATAATTATGAATTCAGGCCCATTAACTTATTATACATATGCATCCAAAATACGGTTCATATATTTAATATGGACTTGTATTATTTATTTACAACCCAACTGGAATACAATTGCGGAACTTACCTTTATATTTACATCGTTATTTCTATCATTAACAGTCTTCTACAATAAGTGTCTCAACTCCATAGGGCTTTCCTTTCTTTCTATTACCTGGAAAATCCTTTTCCTTTCTATTTCCTGGAAAAAATAGTAGGCAAGGGGTGAGCGTCAAACTCTAATGAAGTAGGGTTATGATAACCCTCTCAACCCCACACAAATCACACAAGATGCTAAATATTTTTATCTGGTTCTCGTTTAAATTAATATATCATGCAGTTTGTCACACAAATGGCAATAACAACAACAAATCACAAGTATTATCACTTCATATAATCACATCACAATTAGTCAGTGGCACCACCTAAAACCCCAACGAGCCGTCCTCACACATGGCTCGCCCTCTCATACATGTGCAGCAGGGAGCCGACCCCCATACGGCCAACTGGTCTAATCCTCACTGACCAGTCCTCTCATTGTTTTTCCATTCTCTCTCTTTTTTAAAAAAAAAAATGCCAACAGGAGGCAACCCGGTGGTCTCCATCCAATCTAGATCATCAAGTGCTCACAACAAGAGGCCACCCTGTGGGCTACAATCAAATCTAGATCATCAGGTGCGCAACAACAAGAAGCCATCCTATGGTTTTCCATATAATCCATATCATCAGGTGCACACGGGGGGGCCGATCTCCCATTTCCCGGCTGACGGTCAAACTCCATATCATATCATATTCAGAATCCATATCACATATACCGTCCTCACAAATCCATGGTGGTCCACATCATCCCAATTCCACACAAACAAGGCACAGCAATATCACATCACAGGTAATCAAACATTATTTAATATCAATTTTAATAGCAACAAATAGTGCATTATAATATGGCAATTCAACAAAAGAATGCATGTTAACATTTAGCCGTGAACGCATGAATGCAGGCGGATGATACTAATTATCTAACACTACTCACAGTTCTTTATTGTCCTTCATAGGACTATCTCTACCACTGCACGCTTCCAGCTTTTGTCTTCATATTCCGGAACCTTATAAGCATCTAAAATAATAAGAAAATTCTAAATAAGAATCCTAATTCGAAAAATGTTATTTATTAGTTTGGTTACTAGATAATTAACTGACTTGTCAACTACATTGTACATATACTGTGTTTTATTATTTATTTATTTATTCTAATTTCTAACCTTTAGATGAAATTTCTAATTATTCGGTAAAGTAATATTTTATAATAATAATAATATTATTATTATTATTATTATTACTAATAATAATGATAATAATAAAAATACTTAAAGTTCTAATCGTTACTACCTACTAATTTAATTCTTCATTAATTGTTTTCCTGAAAATTCGGCAGCATTTCCTCAATAAACTGGACTATCCAAGTTTTACATAATCCACACAATTAATTATTTTATAACTATTTATTTGTCAATAAAATTCCTAAAATTTATTATTAGTTAGAAATTTATATTTCGATACCAACCTTATAATTAGTATTCATGAAATATCTTTAACAATATCTAATTTAATTTATCTAAATACTTAACTAACTCCATTAATTAATTAATTCGGGATTTATTCAAAAATTGCGAATTAAGCTTTAGAGTGTACCGATTGAAAATCGGATGACGAATCCACAGTCTACATCCACAGTCTACAGAGAAGAGGAAGATTCTGCCTTTTTGTGTCTCGCCGAGTGTCGCCGGACCGCCGCCGCGCGCAGCCGTGCACGGTGCCCCGTGCACGGTGGCCGGGAAAGTCAAATCTTCACCAAAATTAACAAACAATACATCATTTTATTCGTTTCGATGAGAGGATTACTAATATGTATTCAAATTAAGATGGGTGTGAACTATTTGGCTGGAAATTGACCGGAAAGGTTCGGTGATACCCATTTTGTGTTTTCCGATTCCGGCTATTACAGTCGACGAGGAGGCCACCAAATGAAAGAGGAAGAAGAGAGGAGTCATTTGATACTCACCTTGCGCCCAAAGCTTGCCTGAAACGGCGTGAATCGTCGGAGAAAGGTGTCGCTACGGTGGCCGAAACTTCAAGCTCTTCCCCTTCAAAAAAGTTTCAAGTTCAAGTCAAAGCCATATTCTTCTTCCTTTGCGTTGAGTTAAGATTGTTTTTAGATACTTCATTTGCCGGATTTGGTGGCCGGAGGACGGAGATCGAAGGAGATGGAAGAGAGGGTCACGCGAAGAAGAAGAAGAGGAGGATAAAGAAAAAGAAAGAACAAGAGGTTCTAGAAGTTCTGGCCATTCCGGTTATCGATTCGAACCGGTTTTTGGTCCAAATAACAATTCGACTCGATTTCTATTTGTTTTATTGGTTTTTTTTCTTCTTGGTTTTGAAAAATTTTGAAACGGATTTACGTTCCTGTTATTAATTAATAAATATTTACTTGTATAACCCCTTTTATTCTTTTCTCATTTGATTTATAATTGATTAATCAAATTAGGATTACTAAGTGTAAATCTAATTTTTATTATTATTTTAAGTTCGTACTGATTTATCAATTCTAAGAAGTTTAAATTATCTTTTCGACTAGGTGTTCCGATAAACTTGTTTTGGGCTGAGTCCAACTGGCTTTTTTAGGCCCAGATTAAAATTGCTCGTACTAAGCCCATATCGTCACAAAATTCAGATTTTTTGATTTGTATAAAAATTCATTGAGTTTTTGAAATTAAAAAAATTCAGTGGTATTAATCATATAATAATGATAAATATTTACCATTGATAATTATATACTAAAGTGGTAACTTTATCCAATATTATTACGGTAATACCAATATAAATGATAATGCTATTTGAATGATTACTAAATAAGGCTATATTATTAAATATAAATAAAAATAGATAATATTTTTAAGAATTTTAATGTTATGGTTAAAAAAATAAATTAATTTTATTTTTTTGAGTAGTTATATTATTACTAAATAATACTCATATTTAATGTTTGGTAAGTTACTCTTAGATAATTTGTAATATAAATTGTTTACAACATTATAATTTATAACAAAAAATTAATAAAAAATAATATATAGAAATTAAATTACATTTACTTCCCAATAAATACAGATAATTTGTAAGGCACGTTCAAGAAAACTAGTCTATTTAAATAGAAATATCATTTGGGGAATGCAATTCTGAAATATAGTAATGGCAAAAAAAAGAAATGTATTAAAATTCTTTCCATCAATGACGATTATCATGTACTTTTTGCATTATCATCATCTCTATATAATAAGTCCATACCTCCAATTATATAATAAGTCCATACCTCCAATTATAAAATGAATATAACAACGTAAAAAAATAATGATAATGGCACAAACAAGATCTCTACTCCTTCCTCTTTCTTTCACTTGTTGTCTTTGCTCAAGCCATTGGTAATTTCTCTTTTGGTCTTCAAATTTATGTACGTGTGTCTGTATTTGTTTAGCATTTTTATTTATTTATTAAGAGGTGCAATGAGCCGAAATAATACAATAACTAAATAATAAAAGGTAATTTTTCCTCCCATTCACCAAATTGGCGAAAACTCTTATGGGCATGAGGACTCAAACTCGAGATCTCTCACTCTTCACACATGTGTTCATTTACCATGGAAATCATTTTCTAGTAAGTTTAATGTTTCTAATTAATTTTATATTTATATGTTGTAGAAATGAGCGACGATCCAGACGTTAGTTGTGTTTTAGCTCCCACACCTTATATGTTCAGGTTTGATTATACCGGCCCATGCCTTGGAAAAATTATTAGATAGAATCAGTTTACCACGTCAGCATTTTGCCATCAAATTCAATATTTTCAATATTATTGAAAATATTGCAATCAAATGCATTTTGCCAGAAAATTAAGATGAGTAATTTTACTCAACAAATTAATTACATCAAACGTAAACATTCATTTAATCCATCTCTTTTGTTTTACTTTTTTTTTATATATTTTTTATTATCTTACACAATATCTTCTCTCTAAAAATCTCAAAATTCTTTTCTAATTTTATTTCGATATTTAGAAATAATATTTGAAAGAAAAAAATAAAAAAAAAAAAGAAATGTATAATTTAGAAAGTTAAATAAAGTGAAGCAATTGAGTAAAATAGTTCATTTTGATTTTGTGATGAGAAAATTCTAGCTAAACCCACTTAATTGTATTAAAATAATCAATTTAGACATTTAATTGCAAATGTTTCTCATTCAAACACTAAAATAGAAAATACTAAAGAATTCAAACACTAAATTTATAATTATCCTATAATTTAAATTTTATTCTACAATGCTCTTTTTTTGGTTGAAAAAGATACGGTTAATCTGCTAATATCAATTGTGTTTCAGTGTAAAAAACAAGAAAAAATATGCGAGTGGACGAGTGGAGGTTGCGGCAGAGTGAAAGAAAATTTGATGATTTTAATGATTTTTTATTGAGACAATGGAAATGCATGGAATCAATCCAATCAGAATTTTCCCAATAAATTTTATAAAATTATTTTTATCAAAAAATATAAATTGCTATTGTTATCATATAAATTGCTATTGTTATCAAATGCAAACAAGCAAAATTCATAATTAAGAATTTGCATAAAAAACATCAAATCAAATAATTTCAATTATTTACTCACTAACTGTCCGTTATGCAAAATTAACTGTTTTGATAGTTATTAACTATTTTAATAACACTGAGCTGTTTTAATAGCGTGAATTAACTTTTCACAAAAACACGGTTACCAAACATAGCCTAAATAATTTAGAATAAGAAACTCGTTAGTTGTTACTTGTTGATTATTGAAAGCTAACCCCAAAAACAAATTAAAATTCTAGCCTTCATACCAAATATTAAAAGGTGAAACTCCCTTGTACTTCAAAAATGTTCAGTATATGAGTTAACGCTTCAACTTTATATAATAATAAATTAAAAAAAAAAAAATCTAATGACATCCTTTTAATTTTTAGATTAAACCATTAAATCCTTCAACAATTAAAATCACATATATTAAACATTTGGCCTTCTAAAATTGCACATTTTATACAATGTTCAATTATTGAATAGATATTTGATAAGTGTAATCATTCGAACAAGTGTCCAATGACAATAAATATAATTTTCTAAAGTCCAAAGTGTCCAACAATAGTATTCAATAGATATATTTTTATAAGTTTAAGGGTTTAATACATCAAATGTAGAACTAAGGTGCCACTAGATATTTCTAGTAAAGCTCAGGCATCAATTTATACTTTTGTCTACTTAATAAAAGAGAAAGAATATGAGCAATCATCTTTCAACCATCTGAGAAAGAATATGAGCAATCATCTTTCAACCATCTCAAATAGTTTCACGTCCTTTATCAATCTATTTTTTTGCTCAATACACATGCAAAAGAACAAATATAATTGTTCCTTTTACGTGATTCATCCCTTTTTCCCTTTAAAATCACAATTTTTATTATTTTAATGATAGTATGTTTTAACATTATTGATTAAAATTTTGATATATTTGTTACCTAAGTGGTAGCAAGCCAAAACTTTTTGAAATTGACTCCTTTGACAATTTGCACGTTTTGTGAGTTTAATTCGAGGTTTAATTCAACCCGTCATGACTATTAACAAAAGGAGTTCTAACGGCTTTAATTACTTTATTAGTGACAATATATGTTTTCCCAACCTCAAAACAATCATTGAAATGTTAGATAGTAGGTCAAATTCGAAATCCTATAAGAAACAAATAAATATAATAACTAATGAATAAAAAAATTGTAAAGAAAAATTATAAACCAAACAAATGCAAACAACAAAACAAAACTCCATATAAAATGGAAAGATCATAAACTCCACACAAGATGGAGATAAAACACAAATAATGATAGAAACATAAATAACACGAATCTATGCTATAATAGACATAGATACGTAATTTATTTAGAAAAAACACAAAAATTTACATTAAAAATTAAAAATATTAAGAGGGGCTGTCGCAAGGAGCGGTTGGAGCATAAGCAATATGCTAAACATTGGTTTTGCCATAACGAGATATCTGAAAATCTCGGAAGCCTTTCGAAAACCAACGCTTCCTTCCTCCCTTACTCCTGAAACAACTTGGTCCAAGAAGCCTTAATGGATGCAATAGATGTATTCTTCATTTGTATGTTTTCACCAAATTGATTCAAATAGCATTTTCAATTGTGTCACAAGTATTGATAGGCAATAAAAATATACATTTAGATAATTTGTATCGCTTTTAGTACCATATTCAGTAAGATTTTCCTTTTCGACTTACATAGAGTAATCTACGCTTCCAACCTTGTAACCTTTCTGACCTTACAATTTATTATAAACTTCCTTTTTTTGCTTTTTTTATATAAAAACTTCCTTTTTGCTTTTGCCAATCACCAATGGTAAGCCCAAGTAGTTTGAGTAACATGATGCTTTACTAACACCAAGTAAATTACAAATAATCTCATGCATATCTCGATCTGTATTAGCACTAAAATGAACCTCAGATTTACTAAAATTCACCTGTTGTCTCGAGGCATGTTATATGTTGTAGAAATGAGCGACGATCCAGACCTTAGCTGTGTTTTAGCTCCCACACCTTGTACAACCAGGTTTGATTATACCGGCCCATGCCTTGGAGAAATTCT